AACTGTCTAAACTAAATTAAATAATTTAATATATTATATAGTTATAAAATAGAATTATATATATATATATATCACTCAAATTAAATATATATGCTTGAAATTGTACTGTAAACTGTGTTGTTCACACTGCACAGGTTGTGCAGATATTAAGGATGTGCAGCTACTGCAGTGTGTACTGAGGATTAGATCGAAGAGCCCACTTCTAGGCCTTTTCAGAGTGTGATTACAGCTGTGAATTACAGATAAGCTATTAATAAGTCATTGATTACTTTCTTCTTATAATAATTATTATTGTGACTAGTATTATAAAATGAAAAAATGAAATTCCTGGAAAATAACACTATAACTCTATCTAGACACATTATATAACTTATTATATTAAGGTTATTTCTCGTAAGAGACTTTTTCTACCTCAGGCTCGTCATCAACTGTTCTCTAAAAGGAGTGCTTATTAAATAAGAAACACAATTCAACAAAATAATGTACACTTTTGTGCTGTCTGGACAGCTATTTAAAGGGGATTGATATAAGAGATATCACTGAGATGTTTTTCACACCTGAAGCTCTGGTCGCGTCTATCGTGTTCAGTGTGTACGCACCGTTACAGTTTCAGCTTTTTTTTTTTTAATTTCTTTTAATGGTGGTTTTGGTTAATGTTTAACACAGTGAAAAATCTTTCCTTGAAATGTTTCTTTAATATAAGTTATTATGCCATGTTAATAGCCTCGCCCATCTGATGTCACATGCACAAGGAGCAGAAAAATATTATAATGAATATTTAAACTATTAAATTGGTTGCTAAGAGAAAAAATTTAAAATAAAATTGGGGAAAACTGTGTTAAACTGCCTTCACATTGAAACACTTACTAACGCTGTTGTTTTTAAGTATTTAAAGACCCTTAACTGCGATTGTTAACCACTTTAACCAGCACACATAAAAAAAATCAGCATTCACGCACTTATATTTTTTAATTTACAGCTTGACGCAATTTCTGATTTCACAGTAATATGAGAAAATTTTATCATATGGGTCATATGATTGTTGG